GTTAACGTTCGCAATTAGCCGTCTATAAACACGCCGACGCGTGGCTGGGCGGCTGGCGTTGATGGCTCATGGATCAAAGCTCTCCAGCCCGGAGCGGGTGCCCGGGAAGAGCAGAGCAGGGCGTCAGTTTACGGAGAAAGTTTTGCTGGAGATTTCCAAGGAGGAGAGCGAAGGTGAGAGGTTCGGTGGCTCGTGTCGGACCCCCGCTCTCTCCCCGCAGGACTGTGTGCAGCTCAACCAGTACAAGCTGAAGGATGAGATCGGGAAGGTGAATATCGGCCGGGTTTGGGGTGGGACGGGGGGATTTGGAGCGGGAGGGCACTGGGCTCACTTTTGCTGTCGAGCTGGTGAGGCGGCAATTTCAGCTGCTGGCCATGGCAGCTCAGCTGGTGACACCGGTCTCTTCTGGGTGGTGCTGATCGAATTGTATTTTTTTTTTTTAATTGTTATCAATTTTCCCCATTTCCCCTCCTTCCCACAAAATGGGGCATTTGAAGCTTTTCTTTGCCGGGGGGTGTTGCGACGCCGTGCGTCCCACTGCTCCCAGCATCGCCGGCCAGCTCCACCATCCCAGTGGGGCTGGGTTTGTGGAGGAGCCCAGAGCCTGGTTTGCTGCTGTGGGGTTTTTTTTTGGACTGTCCCTAACTGGTCCCCATGGCTGTGCCCCTCTCTAGGGCTCCTACGGGGTGGTGAAGCTGGCTTACAATGAGGACGATAACACCTACTATGTGAGTAATGCACGTCCCCAGAGCCTGCAACGGGGCGGTGGGATGGGGATGGGTCCCTTCTGCTGACTCCGTGCTGGCCCCATCCCGCCATCCCTGTTTAATTGTTGATTTGCCCCAAATCTCACGGTTTTCTCCCTTCTTGCAGGCAATGAAGGTTCTCTCCAAAAAGAAGCTGATGAGACAGGCGGGCTTCCCCCGTAAGTGGTGCAAAAGCTGCAGGGTGGGAGATGGTCTGGGGACCCCAGGAGCTCGTTCCCAGCCGGACACCCCGTCTTTGCCTTCCCGGCAGGCCGCCCACCGCCCCGCGGGGCCAAAGCTGCCTCCGAGGGCTGCCTCCAGCCCAAAGGGCCCATCGAGCAGGTCTACCAGGAGATCGCCATCCTGAAGAAGCTGGACCACCCCAATGTGGTGAAGCTGGTGGAGGTGAGCGCCGGCCGGCCCCTTCCTGAAACCCACCCCCAGCGTGAAGGAGCCTGGGTGCTGCGGGGATGGGTGACGTGTCGGCTTCGGTGGAGGGGAGCGACCACAGAGGGGCTGGGGTGGCCATGGCAAGTCCTGCTTACAGGAAACTCTTTTTTTCCTGGTTTAAAAGGTTTTTTTATTCCCACCTCCCAAAAGAGGATTTTTTTTTTTCTTCCCTGCCCAGAAAGGGAAACGCAGAAAAATGTTGCTTCCTTGGAGGAAACCAGTGCTCAGATGGGTTTTTGGGGAAGAACGGGTGTTTCTGCGGGTTCTGTGGTGCAGCTGCCCTGCCCTCCGCCCACTGACTGCATGAAACGGTCCAAAAATCAAGAATTAAGGATGTGCAGGCTGGAGTTTATTTGGCTCATGAGTCAGATGATCCTTCCTGTGTGTTTTAAATATTTACTTCCTTGAAGTACAGCTATATCTCTGTCCTCTGGTTTTTCCCCCATCCCTCGCGGGTAGAAGCTCGGAGATGAGCAGACCGTGCTAATGGTGCAGACGGTGCAGAACTGAGATGGCCGCTAAATAAATAATGACGGTGTTTAATTTGCAAGGGGTTCTGGTGCTGTTTGATTTCCTTTCCTCTTCTTTCGGCAGGTCCTGGATGACCCCAGCGAGGACCACCTGTACATGGGTAACTGCCTACCGCCCTGCAGTGCTCGGGGGGGGGCAGGGGGTCGGGG